GGGGTTGAAATGACCGTAGGCGCCGGTACCCTTTAGTGCCGCCTTTGCGGGATTTAGGGAAGGGGGGGAGACTTGCCTGAACGGAAAAGGTTTTAGTCTGTCTAGATGTAACAATGGAGGATGGGACGGGGGAGTTAGCACGGGGGATGATGGGAAGGAAGGGGACGGAGGGGGGGTATTAGACTCCTTTGCTCTATAGCCCATGTGATGGTTGAGCGGGAGAGTAGCAGACACGGGGACGCGACAGATTTTGGGAACGGACGAGTCTTTTGGCAAGAGCTTGGATTTGGGGAGTGGGGGCGTAGGCAGTCGGATCAGCGCGAGAACTAATAGCGCGAGTTAGCGGACGGGTGGGGAGGCGTTTATATCTATCTCCGTGCCGCCCGCCCTCTGCCCGCGCTCTCCTCCGTTCCTGTTTGCCGTACCTCGTCTTCGTGGAGTTTCCAACCCACCCCCTTTGTTTTTCCGGCCTGTTTTCTATTTGTGAAGGACATGGGGGAGAGTCGGTGATCGTATTTTTTATACTTGGGAAGCAACTCTGTCGCGAGTTTAAAGTTCCAAGTCGTGTTTTTTGTGCGGAGACACAGCAGGCAGGACGAAAAAGGAGGAGCAATACGGCCGGTCGCGTGTTTTTGGAAAGTGTGTGTCAAAGAGTATTTTTTCTCTGTCAAGCGTGTTCTCGATTGGTGCAAGGTTTCGATTATTTTTTTCTTGTAATATGATTCACCTCTTTTTCCTCAGCCTTTGGCACGTACAGTCCTTAGCGTGATCGCGTACCCGTGGTCTTGTTGCCGCGAATCAGCTTTCGCTGCTCAGCTCGCGAAACGAAAGACCGTCACCCGGTTGACTGCTGCGAGCAGCTCTGGTTGCCCACCATCCATAGTCAAGAGATACATGCTGCGTAACCCCGAGCTCCTGAAAATATATTCCTCTTGCTAGAGGGACCGCGTCCTTAAAATGGGCTGTAACGCGAATCGAGAAAATAAGAGCTATGACGTTGGTTCCGTTGCTACCTGCTGACGACCCCACCGCCCCAAGTCAACTCTGGGGAGGGGAACCCGAACAACAGAAAAGGCTGTTGGACAGCGCAGCTCTTTCGGTCAATCGAGGTTCGTTTTAATGCCAACCCGACAGAAATGTTGTCGTCCTATCCTATGCATATGTTTCGGCGTGCGTGTGCGGCGAAACGCCACTCGCAGTGGATATCTCGCCCGAAAGCGAGTGGAACCAGTCTCCAAAGCACGAAATGTGGCGGCAGCAGCAGCAGCAGCAGCAGCAGCAGCCAGAGGCAATGCCAGTGGAATGGCCACCACCCCACTCTGTTGGCCCCTCCATTTTAGCAAAAGTCCCAAAATTGCATTTCAGCCAGAGAGAACCAAGTCGGCACGCCAAAGAACACAGCTACGCCATACTCCGTACTATACATCTGCGTTTCTTGAAAAAAAGGCACAAAGAAAGTATGAACAACGTGAAATGAAGCCTCTTGATTGCTACAGTAAGGTAGGGACGATTAGCGTGTCGCAAGAACGCGAGAGGGAGACAGACAAGAGGAAACTATTTCCCCCCCGCGTTTGCGCCCTCTCCTGCCGCCCTGCCCATGACCGCCTCAAGTACACATCATCCAACGAAGTTTCCTAGCCTGAAAGGTCACCAACCACGAACAAACCTGGGTACACGGTACGGTAACACCAACAGCTACGCGGTCGTTTGTTCTCTCATTTCCCGTGGGTCTCCCCCTGTGCCATGGGTCGAAGCTTGTCGATCCGGTTCCCGCCGCCGTACAGCAGTACCGTCACCACATGCCAAGGTAAATATTGGGCAGGTCCCAGCAGCGCGCGTTTCTCTCCACCCCATGCATGTGCCCCGAAAGCAAAGCCAGCTTGCTGCTGGGGGGGGGGGGGGGGGCATAAAAAAACCCCCTTGGGCGCAAAAAAAAAAAAA